GTGTTGGTCCAAGAGGGGGAGGCCACTATTTCCCTCCCAGGTCACTCTCACTCTCGGTTTGTGCTCTCTCCAGGTGACCCTGTGGTTGAACTTGACAGTAATGGCCCCTAGTGCCAGCTTCTGCTACGGCTAAGCCCTGACAGCTCTCACCCCCTCCAGTTTTGTTAACACTAGTAGGAACAGTCCGCCCTTCCTGGCTCTTCCCTGATCTGGTCCATATGAGGCACGCAGGTGCTGCAGCCCTGCCTAGTCTGGTCCCAGTTTATGCTCTCCAGTGGGACTAGCTATCCAGCAAGGGAATTATCCCCTTATTCCCCTGATGGTTCTGCTCCCCCTTCCTGATTCTCACGTGTGTTGGTTGGGTGCTGCGGTCTCATCTGGCACAGGAAGCCTCACCTTGGTATTCTGTGTTGTGCCCTGCTTTTGTTGCAACCGAACCTGGTCTGACCCACTCTCTGCTCTGGCATTTGGATTTGCCAGTAGACGATGAGAACTGACTCAGCCTGGTCCGCCCCCAACCCATGTCAAATATATGCCAGTGATGTACTTTTCTGGACTGTTTCTTTCCGTGCTTCTTGCACTTATTTGGAGGATCCATGTCCTGTCAGAGGAGTCGCCCAGATTCCTCCCTCAGAACCCCTCCTGGTGCCAGGTTTCACGCGTACCAGTGGGTCCGTGGGCCAGCATCACTCAATTCATCTCCTGTCATAGCAGGAGCTACGGCTTTTTTTTTACTGGCCTTCAACCCCTTCTGGTTCTTCCTGCTGGATGTTTCAGCCCAGCTATGGCTTGTCCATACCCACTTATAGCACATACATGACTCAGTTGGGGTTGAAACCCAGCCTAGTCTGTACCACATCTACCCTGGTCCTCCAGAACACCAGAAGGTGTTACAGTCTGACCCGGCCCGGTGCGCCAAGTCCCAGTCCACACTTGTACCAAGGAGGCTACAACTGTGTCCTGATCAGAACGCAGCCTCATTCCAGCGTGTGCGCCCCTTAGTGGGAACCTTCACCCAGCCCGGGTCTTCCCCCAGCTCCACAACCAGGCTTGGTTGCAGCCAGTGTTAAGCATGCTAGTGGTTGCTCTGGCTCAGCTCAGCATAGCCCGTTGCCTGTCGCAATCCCTGCCCTAGATACTGTGGCTAAGCTCCTTGGTCTTGCCCAGTTTAGACTGTCACCATTCCCTCCTGAGTCTCCCAGTGGGGTTAGAATTTCCACAGGGTGTGCCCCCCCCCCCATACAATCCGCACCCAGATTGGCTCTTGAGTGCTAGATAATGTCATGGCCCTGCCCACTGTGACCCTTCATCTATCATCATGGCAGGTAATGGGGACATCCTGCTGGGTATACCCCGAGTCTGAGGTTTTGCATAACCTCGTATTCGGTGCTCAGAATTATTACGTAGTTACAGGTTATTCAGAGGAAGATTTACTTTCATTGGGAATCTATAGAAATGATTCATGGCTCCAAAGCATTGTGGATTCAGCATGGAGCTACCTAAGCAGAGCATCAGAGAACCAAAATCCCAGAGCTCCCCTACCAGGCGGCCAGCAAGCAGAGCATGGCACCAAACGGCACACTGGTCACCCAGGAATGGCTCGCCTCGTGCACGTGATGGCCAGTGTGCGCAAAGCAGGAATGAGAAGACCCGTGTTTCCCTTGGGGGCCTCTGTCCATATGCCTTTGACTTCGCAGATTCTTCCAACTCATAAATTTTTAACCTTACTTTGTTTTTACTTAGTCATGATAGATTGTCTAGCCTCCTGGTATTCAATGTAAGCTCTTGGGCCACCATAGACATTATCTGGTAATTTGTTAGAAATGTAGGCTCTTGGGCCCAGTGAGATGGTTCACTGGCTAAAGTCCTCAACTTGCAACAGCCAGGATCTCATATGGACATTGGTTCGTGCCCCAGCTGCTTCATTTCCCATCCAGCTCTCCGTTTGTGGCCCGGGAAAGCAGCAAAAGATGGCCAAGCCTTCTGACCCTGCATCCATGTGGGAGACCTGGAAAAGGCTCCTGGCTTTGGATTGACTCAGCTTTGGTTCTATGGCGACTTGGGTTGTGAAGCAAAGTGAACCAATGGATCTTCTCCTCTTCTCTCTACAAATCTGCCTTTCCAATAGAAATAAACCTTAAAAAAAAAAAAAAGAAGAAATGTGGACTTTTAGGCTTGATCCACCCTGCATTTGACATTCACTTTAACAAGAACCCCAGGTAGCTCCACTTGAGCGAGTATCTCAGAGCATGCCCCACATACGGGACTTGGGGTGGGTGGGAAACTGGGTGGGGCTTCTCCCTTAACATCCCCATTTACCTCAGATACATGAAGGAAACAATATGGAAATAATAATCTTACCCACTTTCCTGTAGCCCTGGAACCTTTTTACCCAAATTAACTATGTAAAGATTGTAAAAAAAAAAAAAAAAAAAAGAACCCTAGATGATCTGTTTTCACACTGATAATTGGGACAGCCCAACCTCATGGTTTCTTTAACAGATTTCCTTGACAGCCATGCACTTTTCCCTTTGCTCATTATTTACCATCTCAGGCCTGGGGTGTTTCCCTACTACACTGATATGATTGCTTGTATGTATCTCCACAACTTAACAGTTTTTTTGTGAACAGGTATCACCTTCCTAATCCTAGCTCAGTGCTGTAATCAGCATTATTACAGCAGCACAGTGAATACTATTTGAAGTTCTTCAAGTTAGTTGCCATAATGTCATGCAAAATGGCAGAATCACTGAACTATGTATTCTGAAGTACACATTTGCATCTTAACGGTATATATGAAAGCAATGCATTTAATATAAATATTAATATACTCTCAGTGAGAATTTTTGGAGTAGTTGATTGGAGGGAAAGTGAGGTTTTGTCTTCAAATTTCCTTCCATCTCTCCATCACCAAAATGGTTCAATTTGAAAAGACTTTTCAGTGTATTGGGGCTGAGTGAATGGCTTTTAAAGTGTCTTCTTTGTGTAAAGAGACCTAGGTACATCTGAAACTTATGGAACATGGGAAGGATTGCTTAGAGGGGTTAACAGAAACATTAGAGTATGTTTTCTTGTGGTTGCTTGTCCGGTTCCCTGACTTCTTCATCACACTGTGTCATCAGAGCAGGTTTGCCCACTTTACGTACATAGAACCCCAAGGCGGGCATGTTGCATGCAGGCATCTTCAATTACTTTGGGAAATTAGAATAGCATGTCCCAGCAATAAGTTGAGTGTTGCACACTCAGTTAGATAATACCAGCAAGAAAGTGCAAGTTTTTGAGTGTTAAATCCTGAGTAAACTCAGTTTAAGCCATCTGCTTTCACCATGAGCCACATCTCGAGCTACACATGTCTTAATCTCCCTAACTCCATCAGAGAAAAGGAATTAGGCAACTGTGACACTACTAAAAAACTGATTTATCAAGAGTCCTGCCTTTCTTTGCATAATGATGTGCTCACAGTGATTTCTCTAACACTTATCCAGAGACTGACAGAACATCAACTGTAGATTTAATGTCACCAAGATTGTAATTGCATGTAGATGAATAGTTAACACAAAGGAGCAACATGAAAGCGAAGTGGTTAATTCTAAACAGCAGTCCTGCTAAAATCCATTTCTGTATCTTCATTGTTTTATCTTTTAACTTCCAATTTTGTTGCTTTCTCCCATAACTCATGAAATTATTGCTACGCTCTCAAGGGTGCACCAGCATAGGGACTCTGGGAAATAGTGTCTGGACAGTTGACACATGCAACCAAAGAAGTCAACATGGTTTCCATTGTCAAAAAACACAAATAAATCAAGCAAATATTCTCTTGCTTTGTCTGACCTATCGCTTCAGAAGGAAAGAATGTATTTGAATGGGCAACAAAAAGAGGAAGCAACTTTTCAGGGAGCTGTAAAACATGCTTCTGTGTTAGAATACTAATAAGAATAGAAAGCACACAAGGCTTTTAACTGAATATAAATGGAGAATATTTTGAAAAAATTAAATCACAGAAAGGTTACTATTCTCTTCTAATCAGAGATTATGATAAAGAGGCAAAGAGTTTTCCTAATGTGAGATTAGGAAAAAATAAACTACCATGAGAAAATCACAAGAGACAAATTGCTTCTTTACCTTTTATTTGTTCATGAGATTGCAACTATGGTGCAATTTAATGTGCTTGTCATTATTTTCCCTTAGTCGAAGGATGTGCATGGGAGTGGTAAACTAAAGAACAGTGCTAACTGGCTTTGTCGACTAAAATGTTATCTTGTGGAGGGCAGTGAGAATGCTCCGAGCATAATCCTGTAGTCTCTTGTGTGACCTCTGCAAGGCTGTCCTCTCCATGTCTCATTTCGTGCATCTACCAAGATTGATGTTACCATACACATTTCATTCAAAGGAGAAATAAAAATAACTGCATTTACACTTGGTGTTGTAAGTTATTCAATCAATAGGTTAGAAGGATGAAGGACATTTTAATCATTGGTATCAGAGATCAAAGTGTAATGTGGAGATGAAAAAAAGTACTTTAGTTAGGCAAACCTCTGCTGTGCTAAGTGACACTAACTAGCTGTGTCATGAAAAGTAATGGTACAAAGTCATCCCAGGAGATTCAGCAGAATTCCTCTTCAATCTCTGCATTCACATTTTATAATTATATCTCATTTAATCCCCTCCTCCACTTGATGTACCTTTCAGAAATGGTCAGTTGGGAAATTATTTTCTAGAATTAGGCCTTTAGCTAATCAGTGCAGGAAAGATCTCATATGTAAGAGATATGGTTAATCTGCTACTCAGCTTGAAGCTTAGATTCTTCCTAATTCTGTAATGGTCAGATTTAAGAATGTTCTTCTCATATAAAATTCTATTTTCAGAAAGTACTGCAAATCTTATTTAAACCCAACAATGACTAGAGTACACACAAATTTAAAACAAAAGCCATCATCTGTCATTGAATGAAGGTATTTCTCAAGTTTAAATGGAAGCTAAAAAACAAACATGATAATATATAGTCCTAATAAAATTTTATTGAGAATCAGTGCAGCTCCTTTACAAGAACATAGAAACACCTGTGATTCCAGCCCTTCCAGTAAATGACAATGTAACATTGGGGTGGTTTCCCTGAACATCCCATCTATAAATAGAAAATAGTTCTACAGTTCAACAGCACAAAAAATACAGGACTCGGGTGTTGTGATCTGTAAGACTGGGGTGTTTGGGGGAAGCAGAAATGGAATCAGAATTCAGATTGCCTAATTCAGAACTACAGATGAGCGCTCATCACTACAGGAGTATTTCAACAAATGCTCAATCTTTGTATTTCAGAACCAGCTGATAGAAGGTAGGGCATCACAAGATTAGACCCAAGTTAACCCAAGCATGCAGGAGCAGAGAATATCTTTTAGTTCAGTCATTTAGGGGAGTGGTAATATGGGGAGCAATTGGCCTTACATTTACTTTTACTTAAAACCCTGCCTGCCATGAAGGCTTTGATGCCAAATGACTGACATCAAAGATGAAAGGGGAGTAAATGGCTCTAAGGATTAAAGACTGACAACTGGGAGGTACTAAAGCCCAACAGGATCCATGGAGGTGGCCCCAAGGATGTTAACAGCTGTTAATGTGATCAAAAGTTAACTACTGCAATTTCCCATTACTGTGTGAACAGAAACATAACACATAAACGAACATTGCTGGACAAGCTTTGAAGCCTGCATTACCTAGTCTGCATGGAGATAAGAGATGGTATTGGGCTTTTGCAAAGTTTTCTTCTATGAAGAAAAAAAATTAGGAAAAATGTGCCTTTCAAAATTAATAAAGCCAGTGTGAAGTTTTCTTCAGTCATTCCACAATGTTAAGGTACTGCTCTTCGTAGTATCTGCCTGAGTTTTAAATCCTATCAATGCTCTCTTAGCCGTTAAGCATAAAAAACACAGGCAATGGCATGAATGCAAAATCTTGATAGTTTAAAAAGTCTTAAAAAAATGAAAAAAGAGGAAAGAAATCTGAGTTGTGTTTGTATTGATAATGATTTCTAAGAATTGTATTTGAAATTTTCTTTTTCCTGCTTAGACATTTTCTTTGGGTTAAACTAATCTGGATACTTCAACCACTGTAATCAAATCTCTTTAACATGGAATGTGTAGTTTTTTTCTTTTCCCTCTTAGTACAGTGGTAGCTAAAAGTACAGGCACAGTGTGGGAAGACACTCAATTACACCAAATGAGCTTTATGCTTTCAAGTTTGACGCGCAGCCAAAGGCAAAGTCGGTTTGCCACGCTCTACTTTGACCTGTTACTATAAATGCTGACAGTGTTGATCCAAAGCTTGCACTCAGCTTTCCACAGCACTTCAGAAATCAGAGAGGCTCAAGTCTCTGATTTACACAGGTCACAGAGTGAATATGCTAATCCCAGGAACTGAGCAGTGGGCTGCTTTTTAGATCCTACTGGCAGTAGCCTCTAACAGGTCAGATAATTTTCAGTAATACTAGCTATTTTGTTACTAAATGGAAAGTAACAAAGGATGGGTGGGTCCCCACCGGAACCAGCATATACTCAATGTGGATTTGGTGGATAGCTCCACAATATTCTAAAAATTGCATCGTTTTGTGACTAAGAGATCCCTGAAATAGGCACATTAAAATTTCTTATATCCTATGTTTTTAGAGCTATAAGATATTCCAAAATCAATCAAAAAGAGACACAGTGGACCTTGGGATTGGCAGCAATATAAGGAGGAGAAATAGGGCTGCTGAGTCTAAACTTCCAGGCAGAATTTGAAGCACCAGAGTCTTCACCTGCCAAATCCAGTCTAATTCTTTGGTCTCAGAAATTATATTGTTTAGCCTAGCAGTGAAAAGATTCATTTGTTTAAGCATGAATTCTAGATTTTACCTCAAAGATGAACAGCTTTTTTACCAGAAGTTTAGTGTTTGTACTCAAGTTATTGACTATATAGAATTCCCTTTTCTGTCTACATTTAAAAATAAAATTCTATAAAATTCTATTGCTGTACTATTTAGCAAAAAGGCTATTTTTTTCTGATAAATTGATAGGAGGCAAAATGTTTTATGGCTTTTCCATAATATCTAGGACTAAAGGACAGTCATATTTCCATGTAAAGTTAAATACCAGGGGAAATTGAGAATAGGGTGGACTGGAATCCTATGTCACACACAATTTACTGACCTCAATACTAAAGCAGAGACAGATATATGTAAACAGTTCCAAAATACTAGGTTATTTCAGAGAAAGAATAAACTGTTATTGTTAGCTTATCTTGAACTAACTTCCACATGAGAATTTTCACAATAGCACATTTTAAAAGTTTTTGATAAAAATGTTGGCTTACAGAGCCTCACAGACAAAAAAAGTCAAAACTTCAAAGTTATGTTTATCTCTAATCTATGTAAGCAGCAGACATTTCAAAAATGGTATTTAGGTCCTTGGTAGAGTTTGTGTGACTTGAGTACTGTTCTTCCTGAAGAATATAGTTAAAGTTTTGTCCCCTTTTATAACCAACTACTTATAGAAACTGAGTCACACAGAAGGTGTTTGGCCTCCTTATTAGAGGAGAGATGTTAAAGAGGAGAGGAGAGGGCACAATGGTCCTACATTTACCTTGGTTTATCTACAGTTTCTTTCAAGAACATTTTTGGAACTGTAACAGATGGTTACAATTATAAACTTAATTTTCTCCAAGTTCTGAAATAAATGTGTATGACCTCCAAATACAGCACATCCCTTCTTGAGCAGGAAACAGAAGTTAAAGGATTTCCTCACAGATACTTTTAAATAAATACAAATGCCAAAATAAGAAACTGAACTAAAGAGAAGTTTTGAAAGAAAATACCGACCAAGAACACCTTTGATTTTGTGTTTGCTTGAGAAGCACAAAAGCATACAGCCAGGTTCAAATGCACAGCCTAGATGATCATGCTTAAGTTGCAGGAGGCATGCTTTCCTTTCAAAGTTCAAATGCAGGGAACTTGGCTTTCGTGGGGACTAACAGATCAGCCAGGAAATAAATTGTTCCAGCCATTCCTGGAGAAAGAGAAAGAGGTAAAAGTGATTATATCAAATGATTCCAGTTTTCATTATCAAGCGTATTGTGACATGAGTGATAACAATTTATAGGGTATGGAAATATAAATTTTCTATTATGCATCACCGAGTTGAAACAGGTAATCCCAAGTGAGCTGCTCAGGCTTTATTTTACTTTGGTTGATTTTGTTTGCTTGTTTTCTATGCAGGCAGAAGACAGGATAGAGGAGAGAGACAAATCCAAGCCACAGCCCTGTCATTTATCATCCATGAGCTTTTTTGCCATGGCACCATGGGCCACTTGGGCTGACCCTATGTCTCATCTGTGACACTAGGATAATAATACCTGTATGTTTTTGCCAAAATGATTTATGATAGTGTCTCACTCCACAGATGGGAGTCCATGTAGTTAATACTGTTATGGGGTCTGGAGTTGTACAAGCGTTAACTAGTATTTAACATTAATTTGTCATACTAGGAAGTAAAAAAGTAATACTTGTTAAAGAAGACTATAAAATTAATTGATATATCTTAAATTCAACTATATTGATTACCAAGCAGAGAATGAGATGCTGATATTCTAAAGCAAGTGAGGGACATGTGGGAGATACCTTCGAAAAGGGAGAAAGGAGTGTCCGGTGTTCTGCATCCATGTTCTCCATAGTCTAAGCACCATTCTGCAAACTGAGAATGGGGTTGAGTTAAATGACTGTGGCTATTTCAGCCAGGAACACTAAAATCGGCTACTGTCCCTAAGGATTACTGTGAGAAGTCAAACTGCTGCATCCGAGAAAAGGGACTGCTGCAGAGAAACAAATGGTACTGCACCACGGAAGGCATTTAATGAGCTACCAGAAGCCACATATCACCAAGGTTAACAAAGATCAAAGAAACAAAAACCACCCTTGACTTTCTTATTTTATCCATAAATGCTTCCGAGTAAGGACAAAGTATGTTCCTCTCAAAGAGAGTTAATTAATTGAACAGCTTCCGAAAGATGTTCCTTTGGGAACTTATCTTGTTACCTGTAGACTGGGCTTAAAGATAAGCCAACATACTTGTATTCTTGTTTATATTATCATTCTTGTTTTTATTGTCATTTCTGCAATGTCACATGGGTCATGTAGTAGCATCATTTTCTACAAGAAGGTTTTTGATTTTCTTTTTCATCACTTTAGTGACACATCGGTCATTCTGTAGTCTGCTGTAGTTTCATGCTGATGTAAATTTTCTGTTTTCTCCCTGTTGTGGACTGTTTTCTGGCTCTGTATTTAAGGGGATATATAACAGAAGTGCAGCAGAGACTGACATGTCCAGAGTGAGACAAAGTGCAGCATGCCTCTCTGCATCCAACCAAGGTGGACTCCTGGTGAAAATGTTGAATATATCCTGACAGTAGGATGCTGGACTCTTTGACTTTGTCCATGCCTACAATGTTGGGAAACACTTTAATAGCGGAATAATGAACATATAACTATTCATTAAGGACCACCTATTGTGATACTAGAGGGGAAGTCAGTAAGTGGGGAAAGGGCTTGGGGAAGGGGATAGGAAATCCCAGAACCTATAGAACTGAATTATTAAAAAAAAAAAAAAAGCAGCAGTAGTGAATTCAGTCCAATGGCTTACATTTCCACAGCCTCCTGGAAGAGCTGCATTCCTGCCTGTGGCTCTGACTCTTACCTTGCAGGCCCTGTACAGGCACTTCATGTCCTGTGTGAGGTTGTACAGCGTCAGGAAGGCATAGGCGTTCCCTGCGGCACCATGGCACAGCCCGTATCCTTTCTTCAACAGCCCGTACTGCCAGATCACATCTGTGCACTGATAGGCATCAACAAGGTACTGCTCCTCCTTGAATACCTGCAGGCTCAAGGAACTCAAGTTTTATTATGTGGGATACAAAAGAAAGTTCTATTCACATTTGTCCCAAGAGAAAAGCAGAGACGAGAAATTCCAATTGACTAGCTTTCCTGAATCCTTTGTAAACAGAGCTGAGCCTGATCTGCTCAGTATTAAGTTTACCTGCATGGGCTTTGTATATGTGAATCACTGCTGACGCAGTACTAAACTTGCAACTTATTATTTCTGTTAATCACTTTTCAAGGAACATGTGCTATACTCTTCAGTAACTAAATGACCTTCACTAGTAAGAAGTTTCTTTACACACTGGAGAAGAAACTGTCACTTATTAACACAAAAGTTGATTTAAAGACACCAAACTTTCTAAAGAGAAATATAGGTAGATCTATATAATTTGTTGCCTTCCATATCTTGAACAAAGATTTGAAAATTACCCCAAGTATATATTTTTGAGATCTCTTTGCAGCTTAAAAGTGGAAGCGAGTTTTAAGTTTTTCTTACACCCAGTTTTCTGACATACACAAAGTTTATATGAGATTTTAGTGCCTGTTATGGGTTGTCGGTTTGTTGATGGTTATTTGTTGATTTGGCACCAATATTTTGGTGTAATTCTGCCCCTATTTTCTTCCTAAACCAAAAACCGTTCCTGGGGCCAATGCAGTACCAGAGTAAGCTAAGCCTCTCCTGTAGTGCCAGCATCTCATGGGCGTTGGTTTGAGTCCTGGCTGCTCACTTCCACCCCAGCTCCCTGCTTATGATCTGGGAAAGCAATGGAAAGGTTCAAGTCCTTGGGCCTCTACAGCCACACAGGAGACCTGGAAGAAGCTGCTGGTTTGGGATCAGTTCAGCCACAGCCTATGCAGCCATTTGGACAGTGAAGCAGCATATGGAAGATCTTTCTGTAAATCTGCCTTTCCAATAAAAATAAATAAATCTTAACAAAAATCATTTCCTTTTCTGATTGCTATTCTGAAGTAGCATGATTTTTAAGAGTGATGTCTTTATACAATTCATTGGCATTTACCACATTAGCAATGTTGAATAATCATCATTGCTACTTAAGGTTCCAAAATGTTCTCAGCATTCCAAGCAGAAAATCTGCACTTTGAACGCTGTTCACCTTTATTCTACTTTGTCTCTATGAATTCGCCTGTTCTGGATACTGCACACTGACCATCATATCTTCTTTGTACGCAAATATTTGTCCTTTCATGCCTGGCTTATTTCATTTAGGCTATTTCAAGGTTCACCTATGTTGTTGTATGTATCAGAATTTCATTCAGTTTTTTGTGGCTGAATAATATTCCTTCGCATGTCTATATACCATTTTCTTTAAAACTATATCTACTAGTAGGCACTGAATTTCTACTTTTTGGCTATGTTGAAAAATGCTATTAAGAATATTGATGTCAAAGTATTTGTTGAAATAGTTTGGTTTTAGTTCTTTTGGTATATATTTAAGAGTAGGAATGCAGGATGGTATGTAATTTTATCTTTACTTTTAAGACCTGCCCAACTTTTCTTTCCTGGAATTTATAGGTACTATTTTATTTTTTATTTATTTGAAAGGTGAAGTTGCACAGAAAGTCCTTTTGCTGGTCTATCCCCTAAAACGGCCACAATGGCCAAGGCTGCCCAGGCCAAAGCCAAGAGCTTCATCAGGGTTTGCCATGTGGGTGTGGGGGCTCAAGGACTCGGGCCATCTTTTGTTGCTTTCCCAGGTACATCAGCAGGAAGCTGGACTGGAAGTGAAGTAATGGGGACTTGAATTGGTGCCCATATGAGATGCTGGTATCACATGTGGTGGCTTAACCCATTATACTACAGAACTGGTCCCCAAAGACATTGTTTTACATTGCTTATAATGCATGACAATTATTTCTATTTCTAATTGAGCTTGTGGGATACTTAATTTGCATGTAATACTCTAGCTATAATGTTGTCTACCTACTAGTAAAACTGTCACCTATTTAATGAAATAATGTCTGTTACGGTACAGATCAGGGAATGACTGCAACCCAGCTGGTTAAGGAATCTTAGGTCCAATAAGTGATGCAGGCGTTGCTCCTTTAGGGATTCTGATAAAACCAACTTGAACTTGTAAGCTGCTTTATTACTTTTCCTTACTTTTAAAATGAGAAAATATACACCTACCTTATAGGCCTGGATGAGCATGTAGATCACCCCAGGGGCACCATGGCACCAGTGGACAAGCAGATCTCGACTATCACCCACACAGGGAGGGTAATTACCAGAAGGGAATTTCAGCTGGCAGACGTAGTCCACACTGGGTTTGACCAAATTATGCAACTTCCCTTGGCTTACTTGAAGGCTGGGCTACAAATCAGATGGAATTATTAGTTGTGCTGAAGCACATAGACACTTTCCAAGAGCTCAGTGTAAGTTGTTAACCAGAGAAGAAGCATGCCAAAGAAGAACTCGGAGGTCATTGCAATGTCTTGGATTTTGTCCAATTTTAAAACCTACCAGATACCTTTTATTTTAATCTTGTGCTATTTTGTGAACTTACATAGTGCATCCAACTAAAACTGTACTATCAAATAACTCTTGTGGCTTTCTATATATATTATTTCTCAGTTTTTGTTGCTATCCACATGCATATCAATAATTTTCATTAGTGGTTGAGAATGTCAGTGTTAGAAGAATATCCTAAGTTCTCAACACTTACACAGACAATGAGATATATCAGACAAAGCAAATAAACTTTCATGATTATATTTAGAGAAGTGATAAACACTTCTGAAAGGATACTTACAAGAAAAGAGAGCAAACTGCAGCATGATGCTGAATTAAGTCTTTTCTTTTTGAAGTTTTGTTTTTGAACATTTATTTTAGAGAGTGGAATATACACACAGACACGGAGACACACATGGCCAAGGCAAAGACAGGAGCCTGCGCCTCCCTCCAAGTCTCTCATGTTGGTGACAGGGAACCATGTACTTGGGCCACCTTTTGCTTTCACAGTTGCATTGTAAGGCACTGGATCGGAAATGGAGTAGCAGAAACGAGAACTACTACTCAGATGGGATGCTGACATTGCAGATGGAGGCTTAATACATTGAATCAAACAACTGGCCACTAGATAAAGTCTGTCGAGGATTTAGGACTGGTCTATATGTGGGATTATTTTTGTTTATTTATGAGCCACCCTTTTTAATATAAATTTTTAGTATCTCTTTTTTTCCCTGCTGTAATCCCAATGTACTGTTCATTCTTTAGACAACAGTGTGTTGTTTTGCTAGGCAGGGGATGGACTGTATGGGAATGAGGGGTGGAAAGTGAGAGAAATTGGTGGGAATGAAGCACAGGCAAGATGTAGTAGGAATGATATGATAAGGACAATGCAGCTCTTAAAAGATTCTGAAATGCACCAAGTCTTGCAGGGGACATACAATGTGTGTGTGTGTGTTTGTGTCTGTGGATAGAGTATTTACATTCAGTGTAAAGTGCTAGAGTTCAAGTGGATTTTCGCCAGATTTGCAGAAATCATTCAACATAACCAGAAAAATGCTGTTTTGTTTTATGTTGACAAATAGATATCAACTGGAATGGAATTTCAGGATTAATATGAAATAATTTTAAAGAGATAATAACCTGCAAATGGAAAAAACCAATGCTTAGGTTTACAGCTAACAAAAGGAAGCAGGGGGATGAGATACTGATAATCTGTTTCAATGACAGGTCAACAAGGTTACCCAGCCACCGACACTAGTGATTCTAAGTCATCCTTACACTTCAGAAGACACGCATGTTCCTGGAAACTTTTTAAAGACTCTACATTTGTTTCTGGGAATAGAGAGACATTAACAGAATGTGCCAGAAAATTAAAGGAATTTTCCAGAAGACTATTCACAAAACTTCTGTTTGGGAGGTGTAAATATGATAGTTGATATCTGATTACGACTAACACTCAAAGTATGACTTTGCATTTGAAAGCAATAATGACCTTGAGTTTTCAGTGTTGTAATCACTACTTAGTTACAGGTAGAGGGAGGTACTGATTCTAGATTATGACAGCCAGCCTCTCAACCAGTAGGTAATCTGATTATCTAAGCACTCATGTTGGCCATATTAATGAACCCTGCTCCTGTAACTCGTACCATACTATAGGAAGATAAGCAGGATACCTCTGGGGCCATTAAAATTCAGCTATCTTTTGCCATGAGTTTTAATTTTTACTCATAAATGCTGATTTCTCCTCATAGCTTAATCAATCTCCTAAAATGACAGGCTTAGGAGAAGTCTTTTGACCTCCTTTCCCAAATTACGTTTGATGCAGTAAATACTCTTTATCTTCGGAGTATGCAACTTTGGTTGATGTTCCCCAGTAGTATTCGAACCAAAGAACAGCACGGGTGAGCATATTCAGCTTCCTTTTTTTTTTTTTTTCCGGTAAGTTACACAAAATCAATTAAGAAGTCTCCTAAGCTTTGCTCTCCAAGCAAGCATTGCGGCAACCAGTGCTCATTTGTTTTCTATTGATTTTGTTCTTACTCCTGGAACCCATTTAACTGGGTTAGGCCTTATAAAGTAGAATAATAATCTTAATTCAGTTTATTTTCTGAAGGAGAAAAGCAGAAGACATTCATTTACAATTATGGGTCAAAATAATGCAGTCTGCAAAGTAGGATTAGGCAGGTAAGGTAAGAAAGGGTATGTTAAAATGATATTTGTAAGGGCTACAAGTTAAATATCGCAAAGCACAGTGCCTTTTATATTCATAAATTTTGAAATATGCCTTGGCACATATTACTCTTCCTTGTGTAGGTCATGTACCTGCAAGCAGAAATTTATAGATAACACATGCCAGACATCCAAGATAATACATGACAGACAGTAAAATCTCACCATACTTATTGCTTACCTGCATCAGATAGTAATAAATTCCTGCTAGGCCATGGGCAGCCCCCACATAATATTCCTGGTACCATTCATACATAAGTGGAGTCTTTCCTGTAAAGTTTCTCTTCCTAGCTAGGTTTTCTCCAGATGTTAAAACTGTCTCACAAATCTGCAGAGAGAAAACCAACCAAACATCACATATAATTAGAATAAAAAGCTCCCGTGAGAAGCAAAGAACTTTGTGATCTGTGGTTCTGGGACCACGGTGTCTAAGACACTATTTCTATGATGGGAAGGACTCAGTGTAATTCTACAGAGAAGCAGAGAAGAGAGGAGAGCATTAAGGATCCTGGAAGCATCACCTGTCAAAGGAAACACAAACTCCTTCAGGCACAAGAGGAGTCATAGACTAGATGTTCTTTACCTCAGATACTTTGGACTAGAGTGTTCAAACTTTGGAGTTTTTTCAGATTTTGGAATATGTTTGTACACTTTGTTGGCACAGCATCCATAATTTAAGAAATATCACCACCAAAAACAGGCTTTAGAGTATTTTTAATTTGGAATAGGGATGTTTAACCACTACCTGCATCTGGGAAACAAGATCTAGCCCTAATCTTCTTCTGAAAGTCCCTCCCAACTTGCAAATGAACAGGTAAGCATTCTCCTTCTTTCTTAAACATTTTCTTTTAAAGATAGAATAACAAACAGAAATGGAGAAAGGCTTCCATTTTCTGGTTTAATCCCCAAATGACTGCAATGGCCAGGGTCAGATCAGGCCAAATTCAGGAACCTAGAACTTCATCTGGGTTTTCCATGCAGATGGCAGGGACCCAAGCACTCAGGCCATCTTGCACTGCTTTCCTAGGTGCATTAGCAGGAAGCTGGACTAGAAAGGGAGCAGTTGGGACTTAGACCAGCAGTCATATGACATGCCCATGTCACATGTGGTAACTTAACCTACTGCACCACAACACCAACCACTAGCCCCTTGTCCTTCCAGCTGGTCTTCTAACTCAAAGTCACGCCCTCCATTGTTCCCAGCAGCACTCAGTGCAAGACTGTGGTGGGTCTAGTGTTTGACCTTTGGAGGTCTAGATACCCCAGTATCCCATTTAAAATGACAAGATCAGTAGTTTAAACAGATGGCAAGAGGATCCTAAAAAGATTCCTAAAAGGGGGAAAGGGAGGGAGAAAGGGATATTAAAATATTCTTAAAGTTATATCTCCAACTTACATTGAATCTATTAAAAACGAATTCAAACTTGAAATTTAAAAAAGAAACAAAACAAAACAAAGTGATTCCTTAAAAGGCACAAAAATGTAGTACCTGCTGAATGTGGCTTTGAGGAATCTTCTCCTCTCCAAAGTTCTTATTGACAAAGAGAAGAGCATAAATGTAGCCCATTCGTCCATACAGCATTTCACTTGGAGCGTGGGGATCAATCTTATTTAGGTGAATTAGCCTAGAAACAAAAATATATTTCTAAAATAATCCAAAGAAGGTCACATACAGCATATGCTTAAAAATGATACATTTAAAAAATATATATACACACTAAATTTTATAATCCATCTATCTATCTTTGGGAGAGTCAAGTCTCAAAGATTAACCTTTAGTTAAATTTGTTTTATCCAGTTTATAACCAAACAGAAACACAAAATACAAATAATGAAGAAGAGCTTTGCACAGCTAAAACTACTTTCAACTTCCCTACTTCTTCCTGGAGACACACCTAAGACTCAAGTTTTTGTAGGTAAGCACAGACACAGCAAGAACTGCTGGCTGTGATGGCAGTTTTTCCAGAGAAAAAACAGAGGACACTCACATGACCATCAATTTCCCCAAAATTAAATGCTGCTGCATCTCACTGATGCCCTTGCTTGTTTATGTTTACCTGTCATCAGGCCAACCTGCAATGTCTGTACTGCAGCCTGTTCTACCAAAATGCATCATCTATGCAAATAGCATAAAGCTATCAGCCAATCTCCCTGTCTCAGCAGTCCCTCAGCCTTCTTATCTTCACAAACAACCTTGCCTACCAACTATTACATATTCTGAGGCTTGTTTCGATTGATGATTCTTGGATTTTAATAACCTATAGAGTATTCTATCATATGGACATTGTACTGTATTAGGTTGTTAGACTCAATTCAGACAGTTTTGGTTCTGGTTTCGGTTAAGGATGGCTCTATGTCTGGACTAGATGGAGGTAGCAGCTATTTGAGGACTCTGGGGAGTCAATATTAGCAAACACTCTGGGGCAAAATACCATGGAAATGGTGGTGCCACCAGATCAGTAGTGAGGTTACCAAATCGATTACCTCAGTGGCAGCTGAGACGTGAGGCGGCACCCACATGGGATTCTACTGTCTCCCATGTTACAAACACCAGCCCCTCTCTGTTCCCTTGTGCCCCAAATCAAAAGCAGTATTTTGCTAGTTACAAAGATGAAAGCAATATGCCCCTCATAAGAATCAAAATGAAGGCAGAGAACCTTCCTCAGCAATCTGAGCTGTTATGGTCCCAGCATTATAGGGTGCAGCCCCATCCCTTTGCTTCTCCCTCAGCCTTCCACACTTGGATGGCAGAGGTGGATGGCGCTGGAGGGCAGTGGTGGGTAACTCAGCTGCAGATTTTCTTGACATAGGACCAAAAAGGGAAACCCCCTCAGAATCACGAACTAGGGCAAGATCACAGAAAGAGGTTAGCTTGAGAAAGCAACCATACTTGATACTTTGAACTCTAAAATAAATATTTTTTTCCTTTCTCAGGCAATAAATATGACAGGTAGAAAATAAGTCCTTGCTGTTTCAAATTGGTTTTGTAATATGAAATTTTTTTTGTAATATGAAATTTTGAGAGTGCATCTTCAAGATCCATGGATTAGCCTACACATTCAGTGTAGTCCTGTTTAAGTTATTAAACTACTTTAAATTTTAGTGATGTTTAACAAAATGACATTAATATGAACAGGCAAAGAACTTGTGAGAAAAGAACAGTTCCAAAGGTACATTAGTCCTATTAAGTGTCAGGAGGTAGCTCATTGACACTAAATATATTATTAAATTATTATTAAACTTTCTCATCTATAAAATGAAAAGCCTCTTCTCATTTGTTATCTTTGTGGAAATTTACTCTGGTTAAATATAAACAATGTAGTGTGCCTCTGTGTGAATGCTATCTAACTTTGTCAATGCACCAGGGATGGTTAATTAGTACTTGAACGATCAAAATCCCACAGCCAGGGTAATCAGTTAAATGCATCATATGTGAACTACTCTATCACCAGGAATTCAGAAGTATTCAGCACTTGAAAGAATTTTATCAAAATCCACACCAGAGGATTTGTTAGTAAGGAACAGTAGAGAATGTCTTTTCAAATGATGGCTTGGAGGTTTAGGAGACAGAATAGGCTCTATACACAGATAAAGGCTAAGAAGGCTTGCTCAGAGCTTCAAGGACAGGAGCGAGGACTATTTGTTTTATGTATTCATATATTCTTTCTAATAAATGCTTGAACATTTGGAGAATTAGACAACCACTTGTGCTTTTATTTTAACACACTTAATGGTAAGGCTATAGAGGAGGGAGTGTATGGTCCCTGCTGCTAACTTCTGAAGGCTGCCAATACATACAAAACCCAGCAACAAAAACAGCAAAACTCTGTGGCCAAGTCTGCCAATTGCTACTACCAGGCTACACGCCAATGGCTACAGTGAGGGTGCCTCAGCTCAGCAAGGAGGGTTCTTGGGAAAGGGGAAAGAATTCCCACTCCCACCACCTCCTAAGCTTGGGGGAAGGGGCAAGGATTGAGAAAAAGTTATGAAAGGGTCTCTAAGAGCAGTTACTCTCCAGTAGAAAAGAGGCACTTGAAAAAGTCTGGCAAGTGACGTTACAGAAAAAGTTAAACTTCATGTTTTATCTCAGCAAATTTAGGCATTTCATATTAAATATGCTGATTCTTCTCTTGTATTTTTCCATTCCACAAATATATGCAATGAATTCACAGTGGTAATAATAGTTACCTTTGGAATAAAGTCACCATGGTATTTAGGTTTTGGTTAACACTTGATCTCTGCTCAACATCACCAGGTCAGTATGGGCAGCAGGATTATGGGTCATTTTGTTTTCCATATTGGCACCCTACACTCTCACATACCTCTAATTCTTTTAAAGAACCTAAGAACATTTAGTAAGAAAAACCCTATTTTGCTCATGCCAGAACTGGCAACTCACTAACACTGCCACCAAGAACACAGAATCTGTTGATTAGATACAAACTCAGCTGTTACAGTAAATAGAATGATGTCTCAGGGTTCAGATAAAAATCTATTATCAAGTTTTTATGTAACTGTATCACCTTCATAGAAATCGAATTTGAATAGCACTTTCAATTTACAAAGGAGATTGAAAGAAGTATTCAAAATGGGAAATTACTTCAAAATTTAAATGCAAACAATACTCTTTGGAAGTATTATTCAGGAAATCATTGTATTAGCTCCGTTGATATTGATATTAAAATGAAATGTTTGAAATAGAAAATGCTACTCCTTTATTTGCAAATGTTCTGACTTATACTACCAGTAGGTGGTGATAATAAAATTAGCATTCCAATTATTTTACAGCCAAACTTGCTGACATTTGGTGCTACACAGAAAATATCTTTTGCATTCTTAATAAAATACTGCTCAGAGTACCTTATTGAAACAATACAGTTTCATGTAATAAAGTGTTCTATTTTACTCTAGATTTGAATTCGAATTGCTGAAATCAGTTTGGTCTGATAATTTTTAATTGTATATTTTACATGCTATATGCTCAAGATAAAATGAAGAAATAAAGGCATTTATAAATCAAAATAGTTATTTTGTGCTTCCAGAAATGGTAACCCACAAGTACACCATTGCTGATCCATGTATCTGATATGCTGATATGCTAATAAGACAACCTCTGGAAGAGATAAGAAAGTCTCTGCTGAAATGTCATTGAAGAAGAATAAAGATACAAAACTCCACTCCTAGCAGTATTTCCCCAGAGTATCACTGGATAGCTTTAGGTCTTGTCCACAGTCCTGTTCTGACCCATCACACTATAAAGGAGAGAAGTCACACATTTCCTCTCTGAAAGCTCAAGTTTATCATCCTAAGTACCAGCCTCAAAGCACTATACATGTCAGGTTAGTCACCTAACAGAGTACAAAACGGACATTGTTCTCCATTCACATTGTGACACCAGGGTCTCTGTGTAGAAGGTAGGGTACAAATGGGCATTATTAATTTCTTATAGTGCATAGTAGAAAGAACTAGAACTATATACTGGCCTTGCCACCAGCCCTGCCTGTCTTCCCAGACCACTTACAGGACAGTCTGATTGTAAGTGCGTACACACACATACATATACACACGCACACATACATCTCCTTTTGGGAAGGCGAAGACTCTTCTAAGATGAATGAAAATGTTGTATCGACACTGAATAAAATTTGTGGGTGCTACCTATTTCTAAAGTTTCTCAGGTCCTTAAGGGTAAGAACTTGTTTGTTAGGGCAACAGTGATTTCTTGGATTTCAGATATTTGGTTTAACATTTAGACTTTACGTGATTTCAAAGGCCATTTTGGTCTCTAAAGTTTAAAAACCATGATCCTCAGAGATAATCACATCAAAAAATGTAGGAAATGTAAGCTAGAATAGAATGTTGATACTGGAACAGAACAGGCACTACACAGAGAATCAGGGTCTGTGATTTCGCAAGAGGGTTGTGATGTGAGAATTAGAGTTATTTTTTAACATCTATTGAAAAGGTGAGGGGATTGTAGACCTATGTGGGTCACTGACTTGGATGGGGTGGGCAAGGTATATCAGAGAAATGTTTCCATTTTCCCTGCAGTCTACAAGGGGTGAAGGGGTTTACTGCTCCTTGCTATCAGACTATGTTAGTGCCAGAGGACAGAGATGATCTCTTGATGTCACCTCAGGGACCACCAGTAGGGGAAGAATGTCCTGGGAATGTTAACTTGAGTAGTGTTGATTGCTCTGAGGAGTTGTTGGCTTCGGTATACCCAAAGAGACAAATTCCATCTAAGGCCTGTTGCTTGTCCATGTCTGCGTCAGTGAGTGTCCACAGATTTGGGAGCTTGCTGTAGAACTTGGCCTGAGGTTTTGCTCAACCAGCTGTTGTTTCAACCGCTTCAAGACGTTCTTGAGGTCTTCTGTTGGGTTAGAGGAGTTGGCTATCTTGTCTTTTATGTGCTTCTGGGGCATGAGAGTTGGGAACAAAGGCATTCCAGTTTTGCAACATTTGCTCTGAGCCAGGACCACATATCTATGGGATGTTCCATGAGAGGAGGGACCAGGTGCAGTGGCCAGTGCAGTGAGACCTCTAAGAGTCCACTGGGCTGGTCCTCAGACCCAGATCTCATGTGCCTACTATGTTTCCAATTCCCAATCCTCATGTACTCCAGTGGGTACAATAGCCTGGCCTAGAAAGATGCTTCCAAGTCCCCTCCCCTGGTATGCTCCCACTTGGTCTCCTGTGTGTCAGTGGGTATAGTGGCCAGACCTGATCCAGCAGTCCCCCAGCCTTGGTTCCTGTGCTTACCAGTGGGTGCAATGGGCTGCAGTCAGGGAAGCCCTCCAGAAACCACACCAGACCTTTCCCCAAATCTGGCTCTCCTGCGTGTTAGCAGCTACAGTGGCCTGGCCTTGGGAAACCCTCCAGATTCCTCTATCTGACCTACTCCATGTCCCAGCTCTCTCATCTCTGGGGTAGTGGACTGGTCCAAGGAAACCCTAGCAAGCATTTTATGTATCTCAAATATACCTTCATTGGTCCCCCCACTAGCCATGTTTTTGCATGATGTCTGAACATGAACTCCAAACTATTTGAAAGCTTAATTTTCACTGAACACCTAGTAAGATTTTGCACACTGTAAACTATTGCCACTTGGTTGAACATGAAAATATTTGGGGAATGACTGGAATTGTATATAAAATTTAGGGAAAACATAATTGAATCTGATGGTACTAGTGATTGATTGAATGAACTTTAAAGCAGATTTGTTCCTTATGGCTTTGCACCAACTATGCAAAAAATCAAAATGGTAATTCTTGAGAGCTTGTTTGGAGATTCTAGCAGGGGAGCGCAGCTACTTGTATACCCTTGACTGAGTGCGCGGCTTTGGGAGGGACGCACATGGAGTGGTGAGGGAGGAAGGGAACGCCTGCCTAGCCAGCCAGATCAGCCGAATCAACCCTGGCGATCAATGGGGTGACAGATGTTGCAGCCAGATCGCCCTCACATCCATCCCAAAATGGTAATTTTTGTGTTTCACATTCAGGGGAAGGTGGAACAGTTCTTACACTAGGTGGTCTTATACAAGTCATACGCTATGGAAGGAACACACTTTAATTAGTAAACTTTTTGGGGCAATCATCTGGTCAAACTCAGTAAAAGATTCTGGTTTTTTTTTTCCCCCGTAGATAAAAAGTATGCATTATACTTTTTGTTTTTAAGCTACACTTTACAATTTCTGTTCCTGTAAGAAAAGGTATTCTAAAAGTATACATCAATTCAGGGAATAATCTAATATAGCAATTCTCAAATCATTATATGTAGAGCAAAAGATTCTTCTTGGCCTGCCTATGTTGTAATCTTATTACGGTTTCCAGTGGAACAAGCTGAGAAAGTTTTAGAGTACAGGAAAGATTTGAGAGAGGAAGGACAATTTACATGTGTATACGAGTGTGTGCACGTGCATCCATGTATAAACAACAGGAATGCAGATGATTCTTTAAGTACCACACAATCATATCCCCCAGTGATATTATTCTAATCATATTAGATATGGTTATACACATATGTGTATGTGTCAGTGTTTGCAAACACATGGGGAGCCTTAGCCCCCCTGTATGCACTGCTACCAGGCAGATGGATTTCTTGATAGAATTCTGAAACGGTACTCTAAGACAATGTATTCAGCTTTATTACCTCAGAAGTTTAGTAATTTGTCATAATTTACAAGCCTGTAGAGGCCTTTCATGATTTACATTTAAAATGAAAATCTCGATTTGTACATCACTGCTACTAAAAAAAAAAAAAAAGGCAGTTTTGAATCAGTTTATGGTCCTTTTATTGGGCTTGTCTCATATTACCAGTAAAAATTGAACCACATTTCTTTGAATTATTGATTTTGGGAAGCACCTTGGATTAGTAATCACTCAGTTAGGATTTTGGTATCATTTACGTTCCTAAACTGATATTTGATCTATGTCCTAACACTTCCTATATTTCTTGCAATAAAATGGGGCCATTCCTTAGCTATAGCATAGGAATATTATGAAAATTGATCAAAATGACAGTACTAAGATTTATCTGCAGAGAGCAAAGTAAACTCAGTAGAATGTTCTTTAACCAGTGTACCAAAAGTAACACATAACGAGGTCTAGCTAATCATCCTCACAGAGAAATGTGATTACCTTGCGATGCAATCTTCTGCCTGCTTCTCATTGTTCATCTTGTGATACAGCACAGCGGCAACTGCCAGTGGGCCTGCATCGCCGCAAAGGAAGGTGATGGAACGTTTGGTCAAACAGTTCAGACTCTGCTTTACATAGCCATGTGCCATCTGCAGGTAGGCAGGGTCCCCGAAAACATCGTAGAGATGTAAGTAAAGCACAGCAATACCTAAGGCAAAAAGAAAGCAACGTGAAGTGGACAGGGTAGTTGATTTTCTTATTTTGGTTTACTGCAAACTCAGCAGTATTGCTGCTTTTGATTTTTAATAATGTGTAGCAAATACATAAATAACCTTAAAGTCCAGGTGACTTTATTCTAGGTTCAGCTCTATTGCTGTGCAGCTCTAAGACCCAGGCACAAACAAACTGCTTCTAAGTCCTCAGTTTCTTCCTCATTACAACACAAATAATAAGGATTCTCACATGCTGGCTAACAGACACACAATCTACTGGTCACCCTCACTGTATTCCAGTTATTGTGAGTGGTTTTCTTGATAGCTAAAATGACAGATGAAGAGACTATGGCTCCAAATAAATAGTCACCTATAATTTAACAAATCTGAATTTAATAAACTAGAAATGCTCTGTTCTTGTGATCCAAAGAAATTCAAAGAGTGCAGAATGAAAAATGCAATTTCTCTTTAAACAAAGAGGTAATCTTATTTTTGTTTTCAGGGGTGTGAAGATGTAGTTAGCGTAACTAAATCTCCTACTCTAGTATCGTGTCAGGCAAGGATTGTAAGAAAGGTATTTGACATCTGAGAAAATACACCCAATTCCTCCTCAGTTGTTTAAAAAGCACCCAGCTACTTTGTTAAGTATAGCATAAAAGCTGCCAGTGACTTTGCTTTGGGCCTGACTTGACTTGCTTCCTGTGCGACTCCTGAAGTTGGCTGCCTTTAACTGAGGCACGGTCCGTGTGTATCACAGCACTCAGTGGCTTTTCCCACAAGCCAGCTGGTCGCAGAGCAGATTCAAAGCTGTGAGGAAGACAGTCGGCTTGCTTGCAGCATCTCCACAAACGCCTTTTCCCTCTCCAAGTACATTTTCCATCTCATTTACCATTTTTAGAAGACACAGAGCCTCTGTTTAAATCTAAATTAATAGAGCCAATCTCTTCATGGATTTCAATGCAGTTAAAAATGCAGTCTGCAAAATTACTTTTCACTGTACTGAGGACAATTTTAAATTTAGATAGTTTTCTCATTTTGCATGGGTAATCTCCAAAGCTTTGTGCTACAGACAATTCAATATCACATGTATAGTAAGGATGAATTTTCATTTCCTGCCAAAGTTAATAACCTTGTCTGCTTTTCAGAGTGGCTCAGTGTTAGTAATTCCACAAGTTCATGATCAGATGTATTAATGCTTACGGTATGTAGACAAGTGTACAAAACCATGTATATGGGTAAGGAAAAAAAAATCTCCTTTTCACAAATGATCAATGTCAAGAGCTTCTTCCAGAATTAGATCCTTAAAAATCTTCATCTCCATCCGAATCACGCATTTGCTGGCAATCCATTTAAGCGGTTACCCTTTCTCTCTCTGCCCTCCTATTCCCATTGCTGCGTGAACTCCCGTAATTAAGTTATGTAAGCACCAAAGCCAGATAATGACATGACTGAGATCTGAGAAAATAAAAAGTGATTAAATACAAGCTCAGTGACTGTCTTTCTTTTCAGACCTTTGTCTCTCATTACTAACAATTCCTTCTGGCCTCCAACATTAACAAACTGTACTAAGGCTTGCAACTCTAAGGTTTGTTGAAAAAAAAAAGGTCTTATGAAAGACAGGTAATCATTTCTTAAGTCTTGTATTGTTTTACTTGGATTTAAAAAAATGTTCTTTGATTATCTTTGTAGTTTGTGGGAATTCTCAACCTCAGGCTGCATTTCTCTCCTTCCTCTCTCCTTCTTCTGGGACTTCTGTCTCTGCAAATAAAAAATGTCCTGGACATGCTTATTATAAATCAGAACAGCTAAAGACAACACTCTGAAGATGAAAGGCCCAAGTCAAATATATGCCAAACATCATCAATGGGGAAACTATCTGTGGTCAAATGTCTTGGCCCAAATCCTTAAAATTCTCCAACAGTATACCTACATATGGCACCACCTTGGCAATACATTGAAGACACAATGACAGCTGTCAGGGTGCGGAGTGAAGATACACACTCAAGGGTTCTGCAGGGAAGACTCACCCAGTCATATTCTCACAGGCCTGGCCACAACCACTACCTGAAAAATCTCTTTTAAGTGCAATATTGACCAAGAACAAGTACATCCTTCATGAAAAAAGGCTTATAATACTAAAAGACTAATATGGAACACACTAATCTGTTCTTCCTACTATTCTGGGCCTTACAGAGGCAGCTACTGTCATTGTTTTTTATCATTTTTCTCCAATCCTCTACATTTTTAATGCAATGATTACATATTATCTCTGGAGTTTTACTTTTTCAGACATTTTGATTTATATTCCACTCAGAAGATAAATATTTAATTCTTAGAAGCTCCCTCATGATGAGCTGAGAAGCCATCACAGACTGTGAGTGGGAAGCTCTGTGATGATGATGGTTGGTAAGGCCTCCAGATCAAAGCATCCCAGATTCCAGAGGACTGTAGAGCTGTCACAGCAGTCACTGGACTGTGTTCTGGGACAAGAAAGAAATGTCTGTTGTAGGGCCTGGCGTGATTGCCTTGTGTCGAAATCCTTGCCTCACCCATGCCAGGGCAAGAAAATTAAAAACAGAAATGTCTGCTGTATTAAAGCCACTGTTGTTTTAGATATATTGTTACACACTGGCAAATATAATCCAAAAAAACATAATTCTTTTCAAAGATAGGGAGGTAGGTAGAAAGTAGGTCATAAAGGGTTTCTCAGGCACACCAGCCATGTCTCAAATGTCCATTAGTCTATGTGCCTAGTGGTTGCCTCAGTGGACAAGCAAGTACCGTTTCTATCTCTGCAAGATGTTGTTAGGTATGGATCTGCTATGAAGACTAGGGAGAGATATTATTCTATATAAGAAATTCAAGATATTTAGTACGGCCTCACACTTCATCCTAGAAATTTCATGGTTCATGGCTGACGATTAATTTACCTGAAAGAAACACATATTGTGAGAATTAAATAGAACTAAGGTGATGGGCATCAGGCCTGGCTGTTAGTAGGGAACCTCTAAACAGAGTTCTTCTCCATTTCCTTCTATAGCTCTTCTTGTGCGAAGGGAGGGTAAACTGTTTAGGGGCTCTTCTAAGCCTGCAATTTCCTTACTCAGCTTTATCCCCAGTTGTGCTATAAATACAACCAGCTGTTAAGAAGTAATTAATACTAAGCCTTTGAATTTCTGAGGGATCATTAGTCCTATTCATCTTGACCAATCAAGACACTGCTGTGACTCACATGGGGATGATTAAGGAGCAAGCTCCACAGACAGATGAACCCCTCAAAACACTTCCCTATAATTCTGCAATTCAGTGATTACCCCTCAGTACTTTTCATTTGATTCTACACCCAGTGTGAAGTGATATGAAAAGTGATTGACTTGCTATTTCTGCTCTGCAAAGTACTGGCTTGCAGGTCAAAGGCTTTAAAAATTTTAAAGACTCCCTTTATGTACTATGGGAGGGACAACCATGTCCAATTTTACAACTTATAGAATCACCAGAGGGTTCCACTAATACCTAAAAATTTTGAAAATCTTTCTAAAGGAAGGGTAATGAGATATTCCATTCTAAGCTCAAGTTGTTCTCTAGTTGAAACTTTAAAAGCTCATCATCAATTACTACCTTTTCTTCAACTGAGATAAATGGAAAATATAAGAAGTGAACTTTTTCTCTGATTATCCCTACAAACTAGGATCACAGGCCTTAAAAAAATTTATTTATTGAACAGAGAGATAGAGACCCTGAAAATCCTCCATTCCACCCATTCCATTGATTCACTCCCCAGATGGAAGTAATGGCAAGAATTGAACCAGATAGAAGCCAGGAACCAGAAGCTGCTTCTGGCAGTGACCTAAGTAACTGGGGCATATTTTACTGCTTTACCATATAGACTGGCAGGGAGTGGGATCAGAAGTGGGGCAGCCAGGACAAACAAGCACCCAAATGAGATACTGGTATCTCAGGCAATTTAGCTGCTATACAACAATGTTGGCCCCAATCATGTGCTTTTCTGTAACAAACTGGTACTTTCTACCTTGTAGTTTTGTAAATGTTTCTCAATTTTCTGTGTGAATATTCAGACATGTATATTTCCATTTCTTCAATGCAACCACAGCTGCTTTTGGACAGAACTTCCATTCCCAGATACTACTGTGCAAAGCACACTATACAAAGCTTGCATGGAAACATCACCCACCAACCAGGACATCTGCTCAGTCATCAGCTGAAAGCTGTGCATCATAAGCTACTGGTTGCAAATACTCCAGTTATTTTAATAAAGGCCCTGTGAGAAGGAAACTAGGCAGGACTCCAGTGCTTTAATTGAGGAATACTATCCCAAACAAAGGACTGGAAAAGGAAATAAAGCAGACAAATACTATGATGTGTCTTTTCCTCCTTTATTTGCATAGCTGACTGTCCAATAGAAAGATTAAAAAGCAAAGTAAATATACAATGTACTTCTCTCCTCCTATCAGGGCCTTGCTGTCTGCTACTTCATGGCACAACAGGAAACTCTCTAGTCTTTTACTCAGATTTCCATAATAGGTGAGATATATATATATATATATATATATATATATATATATATATACACATATATATATAAACACTGTAATTGTTAAAAGCAGGGCTCAGGAGATGCTCTCTTGAAGTCACGCCTGCCTTTGTCATTTGTTAGCTGTGTGGTATTAATCTACTTACTAAACCTGTCTGTGCTTGACCAACCTTAGCTGTAAAATGAAAACAGTAGCTGCTCTAAAATAATCGTGAGTCATTTAAAATCACTTAGAGCAGTTCCTGGCACATAGTGACAACCCAAATAAATGTCCAACACCATTACAGTGTGAAGAGCAATGGCTATTAACGTCCCCAGCCCATCTTTGATATCTAATTGGGAAAGCATACAAAGAAACCTCCCTCTCCCTCTTCCCCTACCCATATCTTTTTCTTCTGTCTTGTCTGTGGTTAAAAAAGTGTTTCTCATTCTCATTAGCTTTCT